GAATCCAATTTGATGGGGAGAACCTAGACAGTCTAACAAAACACTTGACTGACAATATTAATTTAAAAAACCTTCAACAAAAAGAAAACCAATTTCATTAAATACACTAAACTAAAAGGTTCTTCGAATTAAGGCAGTTTAAAATCGAATCAAAATTAATAATTTGAATTAAAAAAATCTATTAATATAATTTATTAGTAATATGCTATTAATTTAACGATTTGGTAATGATTTAGACTTTTGTTACGGGTTATCAATATTGTAACGATTAGTTTTTCTTAACAAATTAACAAATAATCTAGTAATAATTATTAAATTGCAATATTTTACATAATTGACCATAACAGGCATTTGTGTTCTGCTTAAGGTGTGTTTCTGAAATTCTAGACTTAATTTACATATTTTGCTTTGTTATATCAATTATTTGAATAACTTGGATGTTGGTAATATATTTAGGTTTTTCATAATTTTTCCTTGAGGACTTAAATTATCAGGTTATTCAAATAATATCTATAAATAATTTTTCATGAAAAATGGAATTTATACTTTTATCCACAACGTGGAGTAAAATTAGCTAATATATAATGTATAACTTTTTTATACAACGAATTTCATAGTATCTTGAAATTTAATCTAAAAATAAGTATTATTTTAATTCAGAGGTTTCTAAAGTTTATTTAAAATTAATGTACTAGGATTAGCATAATTCTTGAAATAATCAAATAACATGCTGCCGCATTATTTTATTTATCCAACTTGACCACTTGTATTATATTAATTTTTTGCTATTAAGGGTAAGATTCTACAATTAATAAATATATTATCCACTTGGAAATTCAATTCAACGACATTTTTTCTATATAATATCAAATCTCTCTAATACAAAACAAAAATAAGAAGTTTAGCTGCAGCTTCGTATTCGATTATGTAAAAAAAAATTATTTCTAAATGTTGTTCTTATATATTTTCTAATTTAATTTTAAATTTTCTAAACTTAACTCGGGAGTTTCTTTATAGGATAATTGGTCAAAATGTGACATGTTAGCCAATAAGTAAATATTGTGATGAAGCGGTTATTGCTCACCCGACATGATCGTACGAGGTCACAATTCACCAACACGATCATTCAAAGCAAACAATAATTAGAAATCAAATGTGGGTGAGATCTCCACCAATGACTGAGATGTTCAACTCTCTCTCCCTTTGTGGGGTCCATTGCAGTAACAATAAGTTATATAGTAAAAGTATCAACGAAGTAGTGTCATGTGATATCACTTGCGGTAAAATGCACCCACAACTGAATGTAATTTAAGTATTTACATGAACTTGATAGCTTTTCATTAATAGATATATAAAAATTCGTTAAATATTTATAAATTTTGATTGCACATTCAATTACTATTTGATTAAACGGTTGTCTATGGTATATTAAATTATGAAGTTGAGATCATTGTATCAATAAACAAAGTTTAAATTTTGAATTTGACTCTCCTCTTCAAAAATTTCCAAAATTTACTTCTTAATTTGAAAATTTTAATCGAATTTTTAATAAAATAAAAATGCACGTATAACCTTTTTTTTTTGGGCATGTAGTGACTGCTATTCATATTTTTATTTTACTAGTTATATTACTAGATAAAATCCACATTTCAAGAGTCAAAGTCAAAATGCACAACATGTACCAAATTTGAATTGCCAAATATATTCGTTGATCATGAAAAGATTTCATAAAAAAGTATTTAAAAAATAAAAGAAGAAGAATAATAATTAAATTAACCAATGAACAATATCTAAAAGAAATCACATAGTTTTATATTTAGACATAATACATAAATATATCCTTTAATTTGGGCTTCAATTGACATCTATGTTTTCCATAGAATGTGTATAAAAAGACACTAAAACTTGTATTGAATTGAACAAGTAAACACACATCCTACGTAACATATTACACGCAAAATGTTTTAATATATATGTAGCTTACAAAATGATGATATTTTGGGGGGATTTTGACCTAGGACACCCTAATTTTATCTAACTTAGTACTTATTCACTATTCTTTAAATACTTTGTTGAACTACTTCTAATATATAATATTCGAGTAAATTGATGTTTTAAAATTTTATGTACAATTAAACAACATTTCATGTGGAATTTAGGTAGTGTATATATCGATCTTGTATCAACCTTATAAATTAATATTAATTAGACATTGCTATTGTAGGTTGGATATTGACTTGGTATCTATATGAATTATTTTATGAAGTTAATCAAGAAAAACAAAGGCCTAATCACTAACACAATTGTATAGATTCAATGAATATGATTGAATATGACCCTTTCAATTACTAATGACTTATTATGAACATCATAATTATGTATTCAATGAAGCAAGAGATTCTTCTCTCTTTATATGCGCTTTTTTTTTTTTTTTTGGTTTTTCACCCGATGTTCGATATCCATATTAAAGCTTTGATTAAATTTGAATCGAGCACTATCAAACCTATCCTGGGGTGGCGCTTCCAATAGGATTTTCTTCATACCCAAAATTTGAAATCAAAACTTCTAATTAAGGATGAAACAGACTTATTCTTGTAATTATGCTTTCTTTGATTTCATTAGTCATGGATTTATTGCATCGAGAAATAAAATGATAATTGAAATTTATGTGCTCAACAACTAAAATAATAAGTAGTAATAATTTGGTATGATACATAGAGTTCAATGCTTATACCAACAAATAATTTAAGTCGACATGACTTGAGCGTAGCATAACACGACGCTAATCACTCGAATACAAAAATTATGGTTTCTCCGTCGTAATCTAAGTGTTTCGGTTTGACTATGCATAAAATTTTTAAAATAAAGAGATTTTTGAATCTGGTATGGTGTTAAACTAAGAATGTATATTGTTTTTAAAAAAATTTGGTCTAAATCTTTTCGGTTTTGGAACTGAAAAACTTACTAAATATAGAAAGAGACACTCTTTTTGAGACGTACGTACAAAAAAGAACCATATGACACTTAAGAGTATGGCGTATACATGTCAAATATTATCGTTGGGATTTTTCCATAATTCCACTTTAGCTAGAATTTTGAGTTCGAGCTCCCAAAAATAAATAAAAAAAGAAATTAAAAAATGGCCCTTTGTGATACATGAATCTAGATTTAATTGAACTTTATTGCAGATACAAAATATTTTATGAAAAATAACAAGATAATAATAACAACGGAGAAGGGCCTAAAATGTCCCTCGACTATTTGAATTGGTACAAAATTACCCTCCCCAACTAAAATGTCCCTCGACAATAATACATGTAATATAATTTTACAAATAAGAGCTAGACAAGTTACTCCGTCTATTTCATATTAACTTATTTTTGGGGTATTTTCATTGTTCAAAGTTCAACATGAATGTCCTTCGAGACGACTCAGTTGGTTTGGAGGATGGTCATCCACGCGGATGACCTGTGATCGATCCCCCCTCAATGTCTTCTCAGTTGAGCATGTCGCATAGGATTACATCTCATGTGTAGTCACATGAATGTTTGAAATCTTTTCCTATAATGAAGTTTGATATTTTCTAGAAGATAAATTGAACTACTTGTAAAATTTCACAAAGGACAATAGTGAAAAGTATGATTTAACTTATATAAATATTTTTTTAATAAGTGTAAATTTCCTTACAAATTCAATTAATTTAAAATTAAAAAAAATAAAATATAAGCAAATCTTACTCTATCTTTATGAGATAGAAAAATTGTTTCTGATAGATCCTCCAAATAAAAATTTTTTTTTACGGAAAAGGGTCAAAATTGCCCCCGAACTATATGAAATAGACCAGTTATACCCTTCGTTACATTTTGGGATCAAAAATGCCCCTGTTGTTATCCTAAGAGACCACAAATCCCTCAAGAGTTAACACCCCAAATTTTTGTTGACGTGGCAAGCCACGCGGGACTAATCCTTCCACCTAAGCTTTGTCAACTAGGATTCACTACAAAAGAACTAGGCCTTTAGCGGCAACAACAGTCGCCACAAAAGCCCAGAAAATCGTCACTAAAAGTTTTTAACATTAAATTCTAATTTTGTGTTTTTTTCTTCATTGTTTTTAGAAAACCAAATATGATATCGATTAAGTAGAAGTTTGAAGACGCTATATGTTTTATTTTTATGTCATATGTAAATGTATAAAATGTACAATGATGCATTAAATATATATAGTAGGAGATTTGAATCGAGAACTAATTTTGATTATTTTTCGTAATAATATTGGATGTTTTTAATATGGATATTGCAAGTTATTTATTTTAGAAAATTAGGTCGAAATCAAAAATTAATTATCATATTTTTTTTGTTGAAAAAATAGGTTTTACTAGCGAATGGTTGTTGGAGCCTTAGTCGCCACTAAAAATTACTCATAACCTTTAGTGGCAATATTTTGGGATTTTGTGGCGACTTTGTCGCCACTAAAAGTCAAGTTCTTTTGTAGTGAATCTTAGTTGGCAATACTTAGGTGGAGGGATTAGTCCCATGTGGCTTGCCACGTCACTAAAAAATTGGGGTGTTAACTCTTGAGGGTATTTGTGGTCTCCTGGGATAACTGCGAGGGTATTTTTGATCCCAAAATGTAATTGAGGGTATAAGTGATCTATTTCGCATAGTTCAGGGGCAATTTTGACCCTTTTCCGTTTTTTTATAAGTTCATTGTTTATCATTTAACTTAAATAATGCACGTGGTTGCAGGCTTATCATTTACCAAACATTTTTTTTTTCTTTTTTCAACTTTCCTCCATTTTAGAAACTTCACAGAACCTCCATAAAGTATCCAAAAATAATTATTTTAATTATTCTTCATTAAAGCTCTTAGCTACGTGCATGAATCTTTTCCCATATATATAAATAAATCCACTTCACCATTCTCATCCAAAAAAAAACTCAAAACTTCATTTTTAACAGAGTTTCCTCTATAATTATATTACTCGAATCAATATATATAGTTTCTCTCATAACTTATTCTGAAATATCCCAATTTAGCAAAATTTTAAAAATGATATTCGAAAACAGCGAATTTATGAATGATTTTGAACTTCTCGAATCGATTAGGCAGCATTTACTTGAAGATTGGGATTCCCCTGTTACAACGGTGCTAAAGCCGTCCGTCAAAATTGAGCCGGAAGTGATCGTTAGTTCGCCGGAAATGTACGATTTCACCGGATTTACAGCTCCGGCGACGGCTGTGGCGGAGGTGAAATTGGAAGTGAAAGTGAAAACGGCGGTGGTTAAGAGAACGCCGGCGGCGTTGAAATCGATGCATTACAGAGGAGTAAGACAGAGGCCATGGGGAAAATTCGCGGCGGAAATTAGGGATCCGGCGAAGAATGGGGCGAGAGTGTGGCTGGGGACATACGAGACGGCGGAGGATGCAGCATTGGCTTATGATAAAGCGGCGTATCGGATTAGGGGTTCACGTGCATTGTTGAATTTTCCGTTGAGAGTTAATTCGGGTGAACCCGAACCAGTTCGGGTTGGTTCGAAGAGGTCATTGCCAACAACCTCTTCGGAGAGTTCTTCTTCGTTATCGTCAGAAGATGTATCTATGATGACGAAGAGAACCAAAAAAGTTAGTCAACTTTATACTTAGCACACATTGGTGAAATTTAAGATTTTTTCACCCTATTAATTGGTTCGAGTTCAATTTTTTATTATGTTTATTTTTTGTACGATCCTTAAACAGCTTAAGAAGCTTGATGATGAATTAGGATTCACGGTGAAGTATGATATCACAACTATGATCATATCAATTTTTTCTACGAATAAAAGAAATTCTTCAAGACAAAGATTGAAAATTTGTTTTTGAATTTAAGAGTTAGCTTACTTAGCGAGCTTTGTACCTTCTATCGTTAAAAGGTTAAAAGTTCAAACTCATCAATAGTAGTACTATATAACATTTCATTTTCCTTTCTCTCTTTGCTCATGTAATTAAAAAATTGTTTCTCTTGATATTTAAATTTTCTCTAATGTATATATTTTGAGATTAATATCAAGTGTTTAAATTTTTTGAAGAAGCATAAAAAGTGAAAAGGTTCATGCTTGAAGCGAAAAAAGCAAAAGTAAAACGCACATTTTTAAAATATGAAACACATCATTTATGAGAAATTAAAATTATGGACTTATGGTACGTGTATGATTTAATATTATAATGACATAGTTTCAAAATTAAGATAACTAATATCAACATCTAGTGTACAGTAATATCAATATTGATTCAACATTTCAAAGTTGAAACTCAAAATATCATAGTTTCCTTAATAAAAGTTTATATTTTATGCATTAGCAGTACATTTATATGGGCAAACAGCACAAATACTATTAGTTTAGTTTAGGGTTTAATTATGTTTTATTTTTTTTGAGTTTTTAAAAGTATTATTCGTGCTAGATTCGGTCTCAAATACATGTATCTGGCTCATTAATGGCTTAATTAGCTGTTTCCTTCTTTTCTTCTTCTTCTTCCTTATTTCTTTGTTGTTTTCCTTTTTCATTCCTTCCTCTTCCTCCATGTTCAAAGCTTGACTTTAAAATAGATATATCGTAAATGTGAATCATTTTGAGTGAATAATATATTAACAGATTTGAAATATTGAGAGGGGCTCATATCAAAATATTGAGACTATTTCGAGAAGATTTTTATCGATTGGGATTAAAAAAAAAAACAATCTACGATTTATACTCATTATATCAATAATGTATATATACTATATATTATCTATACACAATTATACACTATATTGATATATTATACTATACATATTAATATAATAAATACAAATCTTATTATTTTCTCAACAATAATTTTTATAGCCGGTATATATCGATAAGTAACCCCTAAATTAAAACTGAATGAGTATGAGCTAAGAAACTTCTAACGTTGTTGCCATCCTCCCAATCATTAGTATCATTGTATGATTAACATTGTTATAATCAATGCTGACTTGTCAATATTCAATCTTTTTTTATAAAACATTTATGATAGACAAATATGGTAACCACACGTGGGGTGTCTATTTTTGTTAACTTTCTTTGAATGACAAATGAAAAAAACAATAATATTATCTATAACCTTGACTTAGACTTTCTTATGAAAGACTTCTTCTCGATCGTTTGATATAATGGTGGGATATTTAAAATATTTTATAAGGTTGAATATCTTATGAGATTAGCTATTTTTACATTTAATACGAAAATTAAAATAGCTAATTTTATCATTTCTATGTCAAATTTATTTCGTAATTAGCTAACCCTATAAACAAATATATAAGATAAGTGTAATGTTAATTTTATATTGTGATATGCAATTTTTTTGTCTCAATTTATGTGATATAAATAGAATATATGGAGAGTCAATTATATTTTAATATATTGTGACTTATAATACTATTTTATGTAACTTTTAAATAATAGTATATGCTATTCACTTTATCCCACCTTATGTGGCATTGATAGAATTTTTATAATGAACCATATCCCACGTTAGCCCCAAGACGTTGGTCTCTAACTAGAAAAGTAAATGCTTGAGCTTGAGAAGCTTCTGGTCCAGTAGGCCCGTAAAATTCACTGTTCATTTAATGTCTTTTAAATTTTGAAGTCGTTAATTATTTTGATTTATGTTATGTTTATGTCATTTACAAATAATATGTGCTACTTCTTTTGTCCTAATTTATGCGGCATTGATATAATTTTGAGAATCAAACAAATTTTTTATATGTCTTTTAAATATTTTTAGTTATTAATTATTGTGATTTATATTGCCTTCTACGAAATTTTTAAATAGTATATGTATACTTTCTCTAACCCAATTTACCTTCTAAAGATTAGGACTAGAATGAATTCGTCTTTAATTTTTATCTTTTAGCAATAAAAAACTTAAACTTAGTAAGACATAAATTCTTTATGGCAAAAGTTATACAGATCATAATTAACTTGTGAAATATTATGATGCAAAAAGATAAATTTAATTATGCCCCATAAAGATATTATTTATTATGACGACCAACCTAAAATAAGAGCAAAAGTGCAAATGACCCAAAACCTATAAGGTGTTCAATCAATATGAATTGTGATGGCATATTCGGGATTACTCAATTTCGATTCCAGCCTCGGAGAAAGAAATTTCTTTTGGGACCATTATTTTTTTGTTGGACTTTCTAATAAGCACTTCCAAATTTAATTGGGCCTTAATGGACCCAAAAAGAATAAAATGTTCTATTTCTTCTTTCCTTTGTTCCTTAGTATTTTACCTAATAGTGATTATTGTGAAATTTTACCATCAAATCATCATTATGAAATCTTGGAGCAATGGTAAAGTTGTCTCTGACTTAGAGATTACGAGTTTGAGTTTTGGTTACAGTGACTAATGCTTGTATTAGGTTATGCGGACCTTCTCTAAATCTTACGTGAACGCGAGATGTTTTGTGCATTGATTAGTTTTTATAGTGTTTAGGAGCTAAAACTAATTAGTTTACTTTGATAATCCCTCCATCCATTGACTATGTTTCAGACTTTCAGTTTAAGTGGTACTTCAGGTTTACATGGAATTCCACGTATAAAATGAGTGTATTATACACATACACATCCAATGAGAAAGATGTTTAAAATATTATGTTTTGATAAGTTTAAGGGTTAAGTGGGTAAAATTATGAGTATAAGGATTTAACTTACAAATGAAGTTAAATATAAGGGCTTCCCAAATCATTCCGCCTTTGTTTTATCCTAATTTTCTTTTAAATATAGAGTTTTTAATTTTATAAGAGAGAAAAGGCAACCTTCTTTTGTTTATTTCTCTACTCTTTTTTCAACCTTTAAGACCATTTCCATGACTTTTCTTTCTAACTTTATGATTTTCCACTCATTTCAGACTATAGTATAGTTCGATAGGTGGGATACATATTAGTATAGTCCGATACGTGAGGTTTGAGGAGATTAAAGTATGATAATTTTGATTTTTGGATTGAAGAAATCACAATTCAAATAATCTCGGATTGGATTTTTTAAGTTCAGTTTGGATTTAGGATTTTCAAATTTTGACTTTTGAACCTTTAAGGTATGCATACCATGACATTAACTACATCAATTCACCTAATAGTTTGCTCCTTAGATTATATAACTTTCATATTAGACTTAATATCACAAATTATAATAAGTAGAGCCATAGAACAGTAATTTATTGGCCTTTGAAAATTGTTCTTCTTAATTAGGATTGGGCATATATATTTTACATAATATAAGTAGGACTGAATATAAAGCATAGATATCCTAAAATTCATAATACTAAATCTGATATCCAATTCGAAATACCAATTGATGATTGATGTTTGTTCACAAACAAGAATGACTTCGAGAAAATAATTTGTTTATTTTTTGGCGTATTTCCCTTCTTCTGTCTGCTATTAATTATATACTATTTTTTTTAATAAAGAAAAATTATATTTTTTACGTCTCATTTTATGTGGTGTCCCTTTCTCTTTAATCTATCCCAAAAAAAAATTAAATGTTATTTTGCCATGTAATTGATGAGTGCAACTCACACATTTATGAGGTCAATTTAAACCAAGATAAGGTGTTTAGATGGTCATAATTGAAGGCTAGATGTTTAACTACTATCAATGGAAGACCAAGTTAAAGTGTCTATCTATGTATTTTGCCTTTATTTTTCACTAAATACTTCCATCTCCTAGCAAGTTTTGTAGATGTTGTTAACCTATACTAAAAAAAATTAGATTCAGCGACGAACAAATTTTGTAGCTAAGCAGCAAAATTTGTCGCTAATCCTACTTAGCGACGAAATATTAGCTACTAGTAAAATAGCGACGGACCAACAACAAAGTTTGTAGCTAAATGCAATGTTTTTTAGTAGATATCATATTAGTTTTTGATATACTTTATTTAAGTCGAAGGTTTATGATAAACAACTATTCTATCTTCATAATAAGATAGAGCAAGGTTAAGTACACACCACCCTCCTCAAACTCCACTTTTGTGGTGGTGGTTAGTAACCTATGATCTTATATCAGGTTTGGAGAAGGTTTGGCAAATGGAACTATTGGTTAGTAGTAAATTTATTTGAAGTATGAATTAATGGCCAAAACCACAATTAAATTATCATGTTTTTTGGGTTTTAGCCCTAATTATCTGTTGTTCTTTTTTTCTGTCTGAATTATCACCATCAATATTTATAATACACTTCGAAACTGATTAGGCCCATTATCAGTTGTTTCTCTATGATTTCCTACCTATACTATCAATTACTAGGTGTGTAATACACAATTAGGGATAGTTCAGATAAGAAAATGAAACAAATGACTATTATCTCTTAAAGTATTTACTCATCGTTTAATTTTTCTCTGCCGCAACAAAACTTGTTAGAGTGGCAACTCGCACATCCTTCGATACTGCTCTAGAATTCTTTGATTGGATGAAACTTCATATGCAAATCTTAATCGATTGAAAAATTACACTATATATAAAAAGTTACTAGCTATTATATATCATCGTAATGACATATTTACGTATTTACTTTTTTACAAAATCTTAATTTCGCTACGGACGGTACAACTTGATGTTACATAATACTACTAGGACATGCAAATTGAAATTTGAATGACTGAATTTAGTATAGTGGGAAAA